GAACCTAAGTCACAGATTTTTGTCATTTATTGAAGCTGTGCTCTCAGAATAAACCTGTAAAAGTGTGAGGAAGAAGAACAGGGCAGGGAAAGAATTAAGGTTATGATGTGATTTCAGGAGAAATTTAGCCTCAGCCTTATCCCATCAGAGTTCTGGAACATGCCTTGCACCACAGAGGCAAAGGGGCTGGCTGTTACATCCCTGCATCCATTATGGGATATAGGCCACCTTAGGAGGATGGAGTAGAGGCATAACCTTCCAGGCATTTCCAGGTAAAGTGTCTCCTAGTAACCAAAGGAAATTCTTCACAGAAGGATGCAGGAGAAAGTCCTCCATAGGAAAAATCCAGTTCCTGAAGACTGAACACTGTCTCAATAAAGCAGATCTGCTCTACCAGACGCTGTAGGTGTCACACCCTCCCTGTCTACCTCATTGGCCATTCCTTCTCCTCCTTTGCTAGTCTCAATCCTCTCCTCACACCCTCATCCTCACTGATCTCTTACCATCCCACATGATACCTTTTACCTGGTAAAAGCTCAGATTTCACCCTCTGGTCTTGACTACTGGAGAATTCTAGACTTGCATTTATAACTGTCTACTTTTCTCCAGAACGAAATGCAGCCCTGTCAACCCTTTGTTTTTAGGTCAGTGAAACCCATTTCATTTCATCTGATAATAAATTTGCCTTGTTTTAAGTCGCTAAGGTTGTGGTAATTTGTTATAGTCCAATAGGAAAGTAATATAAGCATAGACTCTGGATTTAGTCTTTCCACTAGAATGGCTACATGAATATATTTGAACTTCACCTTTACAAAAGAATAAAGCCTTCAAGATGGTATATGATGGTCATTCTCAGTGGAAGGCAGGTATAAAAGCAAAACCTTTTCCATGAATTCTCAGGACATGGAATTTCATTGTAAATATACTATGCTTTATATTACTTTAAATCATTAACATACATCCAAATCAAATACCAGATATTGAAATATAAACCATAATTTGCCTAAAAATTCTTATTTTTCTTGTCTTATGTTGAAGTCATTAATTTGTCAAGACTCCCATGATTCTGGGGCACCTGTCTGGCTCAGTCGGTAGAGCACGTGACTCTTGATCTCGGTATCGTTAGTTCAAGCCCCACCTTGGGTGTAGAACTTACTTTAAAAAAAAAAAAGAGGGGCGCCTGGGTGGCTCAGTCAGTTGAGTGTCCGACTTCGGCTCAGGTCATGATCTCACGGTTCGTGAGTTTGAGCCCCGCGTCGGGCTCTGTGCTGATGGCTCAAAGCCTGGAGCCTGCTTCGGATTCTGTGTCTCCCTCTCTCTCTGCCCCTCCCCAACTTGTGCTTTGTCTCTCTGTCTCTCAAAAATAAATAAATGTAAAAAAAAAATTAAAAAAAAAAGACTAAAGACTCCTGTGATTCCTTTTTTATACCTTTTAATATTAAAACTCTGAAGGCTGGTATTGAAACCAGGAGTTGGTATTGAAATATGAATGGTAAATTCTGTTTGGGAGTGAAAGAAAAGACTCTTTTTATATCTTGGAGGTTACAATTAGATCTCAAATAAAAAAAATTATAATTTTTTGGGAACAATCCTGTATCAGTGATATATTGGATTAGAAAATCAAGGAGTATCTTTCTTTCTTATGTGCGGTTCTTCCTACATCTGACCAATCAGTCATTATATGATAGGAGGATCTCAGATCCTGGGTCATATTTCTAATTTCAAGAAATTAGCCCCTTTGCGGAGTTTTTTCTTTTTTAATTCAAGTATAATTAACAGACAATGCTATATTAGTTTCAGGTGTACAATATACTGATTTAAGTTCTATATATTTCTCAGTGCTCATCAAGATAAGTCTACAAGATAAGAGGGGGGTGAAACAGATAAAGGGGATTAAGAGTACACTTATCTTGATAAATCCTTTGCCAACTTTTTAAAGGTTTTGATTCTGTGGGTCGCAATATTAGGATACTCTTTGAGATGCTCAAGTGAATTACGAATGAATCATTTGTGTTTTTAAATGCCTTTGGAATGGTTTGCATTACAATTTTAATAAAGTTCAGTGGTTTAATTAAAAATTAAATTGTGCTTTAATTAACATAAGATGTTTGAACATGAAGATTAAATAAACTTTAGTTATAAAGCTCATTTTAGGTGTATGTGAAATAATTGTTTAAGATTATGCTGACATTTTCTTAGGTTACATGAATCTCAACAAAGGTCCTTTTTAAAATATATATATAAATAATTTTAATGTTGAAATTGTAAGGTATCACATATGTGTAAGGCATTGTCAGACATAAATTTTGAATAGAAAGAATTTTATATAGAACAATAACCAAGAATAATGATGCTATTTTTCATAGCAGTCAATTTAGTTGGCCTTTCCTTGTTTTGAATTACTATATTATTTTCAGCACATTCTTCCTAACATTTCTCATTTCTATTCCAATATTTTTATTCTGACATGCACTTTTCTTGTGTCTTATTTCAATTTTTCATGCAACATACCCAAAAGACTGTTTTTTAAATTTAATTTTTTTCTTCCAAGTATTTATTTCAATTCCAGCTAGTTAACATACAGTGTAATATCAGTTACATGTTTAGAAGTTAGTGATTCGTCACTTAGATACCACATCCAGTGCTCATCACAAGCACCCTCTTCAATACTCATCACTCATTTAACCCATCCCCCTGCTCACCTCCCCTCCAGCAAATGTTAATTTGTTCTCTATAGCTAAAAGTCTGCTTTATGGTTTGCCGCTCTCTTTTTTCCCCACTATGTTCATCTGTTTTGTTTCCTAAACTCCACATATGAATGAAATCATACAGTATTTGTCTTTTTCTGACTTATTTTGCTTAGCATAATATTCTCTGGCTCCATCCACATTGTTGAAAATGGCATGATTTCATTCTTTTTGATGGCTGAGTGATACTCCATTCTATATATATATATA